GACTTGGTGTCTACTGCTCTAATGTTGCAACTCCTCTTAGAGTCAATGGTAACACTGTGTTAGTTCCACGTTAAGTATTAGCTAAGAAGATGTCAGTTTCAGTAGCTACAGTTGAATGCACAGTAAAGATTACTTATAACACAAAATATTTTCAATGTTGGAATAAACTGAAAAGCAAAACAGAAAAAATCAGGGACGGGAGGGAGGAATTCGGGTTATACATCTGACATAATATTTACCACTGGAGTTTCAGCTTGCCTCAACTGTACACTTCACAAAGGAATCTCAGCACACCCAAACCTCACCCTTTTGGAATTTGCACTTCTCTTGATGGAAAAATAATTTACCTTTTAGTCCCAGGTAATTTTGATTCCAAAATAAAGAATGTTACCATGTTTTGCTTTGGGTTTTTTTCCTAAACAAAGCACATTATTAAACTGAGGTAATATTTCTATTGCTGAATGAGTTGTAATTATTTAAACTGAATGCAAACTTAATGAAAATCTCATTATTAGGCTGATACCATCATAGGCCTTCTTGAAAGCCAGCATAAAATGACACATATCCATAACTTAAAAACACTAACACAGTTGAGTTTAACTGGTAGTCGCTTTGGGAGTCTTAGCAGGAAAACTGATATTGGAAAAGGCAAGAACACTACATCCCACCTCAAGAACAGCAAGGTCAAAGCTAGATACACTGACAGACCAGGATGAACCAGGGAATATATGCACTATGTCTTCCTGTTATGTATGGACCTGGTACTTCACTCAGTGAAATCAGTGCTGAATTTCTATTCATATAAATGAGACAGAATCAAGCCCTCTCCAGTTTTCTAGGATCACCAGTCCAGCATCTTTCAGGAATTCTACACTCCAAAGAAATAAGAACTTGTAAAAAATATATATTAAAGACACTACATCCTGGAGAAACAGGAAATTTAGTTAAATGTGGAATTTCCTATAGGATTATTTGGTCACATGTGCTTGCCCTTGTGATATTTAATAAGAAACATATCTTTTTTGTTAAATATTGTCCACTTGAGACTAAAATCTGGGTTAAGAGTTGAATTGGATGGGTACCTGGGGGAGGGAAAGGGGATGATTTGCCAAATATTGGATTTAGCAGTAGTGCATTAATCTAAGAGTGTATGTGGGAAAAAAGGCTCTAAGGAAAGATTTTACTTTGAATTTTTTTTAAGTATATACATTCAGTATCACCCTTCCCTAATTTAACAAAAGTCCTCTTTCAGATTAGTTATTCACTGGGTATTTTGATTTGTAACTGAAGAATATCCAGTTCCCAACAAAGGAGCTGAAGGACAAATTGCTCTTTTTAACAACTGTCTAACTTCAACATTTCTCAAAAGCATGCAGCTATCTTTTAAAATACAGTTACTGTATACTGACAATACTGTTCAAGTGCATTAATACAATATAGATCACTGTACACAAATAAAAAAGTCACCTCATCCAAAGGAACAATTGCTTGTAATCCAATGCACAGGTCTTACATCTGAAATTAGCTTGAAGTTGGATCTTCAATCACAAGCAAAAAATTCTACATGAAATGTTCCAACTAATATCTGACATTAGTTGGCTGTTACGACTTTAGTGTATTATGTTCTGACAAGTAAAACCCTTGTGCTGTTCATGTTTCACAATAATTTCAGCTCTGTCAGTAAGAGAGATTCTCTGAATAATGTATGGAGCACAAAAGAAATGAACAGAATTTAAATAAAAGTCAAAAATAGGGGATGAACTAAAGCTGATATAAAACAGGTGAATTTTACTGAACTACAATACAAAATCCAGCTCCTAAAATGACCTGTTTCTTAGGAATATATGATATAAAAGGGGGGAAATGCAAGAATCTGGACCTATTAAAAGGCAAAAGAAACAGATATAATCACTGTGTACATAAAACTGAACCCATAAAATGATTGAAATGTGAAAAGTATTCATTGACAAACATGTACAAAAAGCAACCAATATACGGTTTCAGTCTCTTAGAAAAAATAAATAAATATATGTGTGTGTGTGTGTGTATTTTTTCCATGATATCCATCATCCACTAAAAAAATGCCTTGTACCTTTTAAGCATCTTGATTATTGTCCCTAATACATGGAATGGGCCAGACATTGCAGCTTTATAAAATAACCTCTGCAGTGAAATGGAAATGGGAATATAGCTAACTGGTCACGTCTTAGATCTTTACGCTTGACCTCATATGAATATTCATTTCAGTCCAGTGGCTCTAAGGCTATTGTACTATATCATTTGGGGGCACGTGTTCTCTAAGTAAATTCTATACAGCGATAAAATCCAAAGCCATTATTTCAACACTGGTTTGGTAGAGACTTATTATTTCATATGTAGGAAATATTGCCATGATATTACTTAATACAGACTTCCTATCTTTAATTAGGTTAACAAATCTCACACATCTGTGGTTTGGAAGCCAGCAAATTCAGTCACATGGAAGCAGTGTCCTCCAGCTATCAGACAATTGATTTTTGCAGGGTTCTGCTCATATTTAACTTAAGGGACATGTGATGTATTCCTTCATTTGTCGGTCAGTTTGCTTATGCTTCATTAGGAGAACTTTTCTCCTATATTTAAATATTTTAGAATAAATATATGCAAGGAACACGGGCTTATTGGCACACAGATCTGTAAAAGATGGCATAAACATATAATATTTAAACAATCCATAATGTTTAGATAAAAAATGCACGTTAGTTTAAGTGGGAGATTTGTTTGAGTAACATCTGCAGGTTTGTGGGTACCTAACTGCATACAGATATATACAGAATTATACACACACTTTTTTCTTCAGCTCTATATTCTGTCTACATTTGTCACCTATGAATCACTAAATTGTTCAGAACTGCAGGAGTGGTCACAGTATATATATATTTTATTTAAATTTTGGAGCAAGATACAAATCACTATTTGTATAAATGACAGGCACTATAAGGAAACATATTTTCATCAGTTTAAATACTACAAACTCAATTTAACCAATGGAAGGGGGGTTGGAAGGAAAGAAAAAGCATCAATTGATAATAGTTTAAATGAGAGGAAGTTTTGGCATACATAGACTTCTTTGCATCTGAAAAACTGTAACTTCATATATGTTTTGGGCTTAGATAATAGTTTGGGCTTAGATAATAGTTTTAAAGGTACATAAATCAAAACTGTTTGCAAATGCATTATTGTTATAATCACAATACTTGGTGCAAAGCAATATTTTGGCCCAAAGTTTAATGACAGCTTCTAAAATAATTTGGAAGGACTGGATTTAAGAAACAGATTGTCAGACAACAGGTTTTACCTGTAATTATTTAATTTAATGTACAGAGCTTTTAACTCCATCAATAAGCTTTTAAAATGCATGAAATATATAAACAGTATCTGCCAAAAATCATGTAGGTTGTAGTACTTCTTTGAAATCCACCTATACAGATCCATGTCCTCCTATTTTAAAAAGCATCTGTTAAAATGCCTTCTCTTTAGTTAATTTGGTATTGATTTTAGCACTAAACATATATAATACATTACTTAATATAAAATTCACACTTATGAAACATAAATCTTTCCTGCATATAATGCACTGGTATTGTTTTGGCAGCATGGAAGGTTTTCCTGCTAAATAAGATGACAAGGTCATCAGAAACCTGGAGTATCAAAGAATTATGTAAATACATTTTACAATCATCCAATAGGTTTTAACAAGCTAAACACACCATACATAAAATAAAAATTTACTACAAGTGTCAAAGAGAGGAATAGAGGGACATGAGGATGCAGAAAACTGGAGAAATACAGTATATATTTTAAAGGCACACTGAACAGAAAAACCTCGTCCAGTCTCTTTCTATTTTAAACTCTATGTGCATTGCTATTCTATGTTCCCAGTTCCAAGGCAATTCATTCTTAAATGAAGAAAGGATTATAAAACTTAAAGGTCATTGAGAAAAAAGCTACAGAATTTGAACCTTGAAAGAAGAATATGAAAGTGGCAGTCATTTAATTGCAACATTTAGCTCTGTCATACTCAATCACATTGCCCCACACTATAAAATAAATACCTTTGCTGAAAACTGAGAGAAGTGAACAGAAATATAAATAATGATTTTCCTTTCTCAGGTGTTAGCAGCTTTAAGCATGCATTCTACACTGTGCTGAAGGATGCTGGAGTGATGTGAATTTGGAAGTTCAGTCAGTCGCTCTCCCATTTGGTAAAGCTATCCTTTTCTCAGTAAGTGTATTTCTGTGTATGTGCAAATTGGAGGCGGACTGTTGGAGTTCCAGTTGGGGTGGTTTGTGAAATCAAGTAGATCGGATCCTAACTTGATTTGGCACCAGTGTGTGGATGCATGGAGACATATCCACAGGATGTATGCACTGTGAGATAGTAAGAGACATTTACAACCCGGAATATAAGAGCAGGGCAGCCTCAAGTGACATCACCAGATCAACTGCAGCGTCAACCTACTCAGATATATTATCCTGCCCACCCCTGCTTCCCTGTCTCCTTCCTTGCCATTAGACAGAACTCTGATGATCACAGCTATTATGGTATATTTTCAAGTACAGGTGACACAGCGGTGCCCAAAGCCAAATGAGAGAAACTGTGGGGGTCACTGCCTGATATCTTTCTTTTTTTTCCCCCTTTACAACCACAAAATTCATCTCCATAGAAACCAGAAAGCAAGAAACTACAGTGAGAACAGTAAAGGAAATGTCACATTGGGTTAGTCAGCACAAGGCAGGCAAGGGGATTTTGCTAAGGCTACAAACTGAGGGAGCTGCCCCTTCAGCTCTTCCACACAGGGCACAGAGGTCATTGTGGGGAGTGTTATGGGGAGTGGTCCTCTGCTGCATGGAGGAGTATTATTTTTTTTCCTTATAGTGCTAGGTCATTATGGACCCCCCTCTCAACTTGGCTGCCATGCACTCCTAACTCGGGGAGATCAATGGCATGTCTTACTTACAGGCATTTGTGACAGCAAAGCTGTTGGCAGTTTCAATGTTGTCAACGTGAGGAACCAGATTGAAGGGTGCTTCAGACGCATTGGGGCTGGTGTTGTGGAGAAAAATTGCCAAGCGAAAAGCGGTATATTCCTGATCTGTGTTTCGGATGAAGAGACCCCCTACAAGAGCAGCAAGAGGAAGGAGACGTTTATTGACAAGCCGATCGCTACCTTGTGCCCAGCCAACCAACTCCCTGGCCCCAAGCTGCTGGGCGAGTGGTCCTCAAGGGCTGCAGGACCGATGGTACCCACAAACACAGCTGGTAATAGAAGTCAAGCCCTCAGAGGCAGTCATGCTCCTCGCTTCCCCATATGGATATCTAGATGCCTCCTGATTGCAGTGACCTTTGGAACTGCTGAAGCCCCCTCTTCTTTGTCCCGAAGAAAACATCAGGTCCTGAGCAGCTCCCCCCAGGAGAGGTGGCCCAGCGGGGCTGCTCGGCTTCCAGCAATGCCCCCCCACCGCCTTCCAGCCAGCAGCAGCCGCCTCCTGAACTTTGCCTGCCTCCCTGCAGCCCATGTGCGGGCAGGCAGCAGCTCAGCCTGATTAGCAGCATCTTTGCAAGTGCACTAGAAATGATGCAGTGATGGAGCTGAGCGGAGCTGGAAGGCATTCAGATAACTGCGTCCCATCCCAAAGCAGGGGGAAAGCAATAAGGCAGATCCCAGGGAATGGCAGGAGAGGGGGAGATGCCCAAGGGGAGGGGGGGAACCCAGGGAATCCAAAACTTTCCAACTAGGAAAGAAGGGAAGAAGGAAGGCAGCAGCATCCCCTCCCACAGCCCCGGGGCAGAGCAACTACTGCGGCGACCGGTTCCCAAGACATTGGATTTTAAACATCTCCCCCTCCACCACCATCACCACCTCCAGGAGAGAGATGGGGGCACTGGGATGCAGTACAGGGGGCATTGTCCCAACTTGTACCGCAACCCCCGTCCTGAAGACCAGTGTGATGCCAGGCAGCCCTGCAGACCCCCTCCCAGTAGACACACAGACACACACACACACTCACGCGCGCGCGCGGGACAGACCGGGGTGGCCGTGCAGCCCATTTCATTCAGCCCCTCGCTCCTAACTCACTTGGCCAAGGCTGGTCGCGCCTGCCACATGCACACACAGCTCAATGCAGCTCTTACCTATTTGCACACTGCTAGGAAAAGCTCCCATTGCTAGTCCCCAAAAGCCAGAAAACAACAAGACAAGCTGTCTGCAAATAATCCTCATCTTCTTCTCTTTTGCCTCCCTGTCTCTCTCTCTCTCTCTGTCTCTCTCCCCCGCTAGGTGCTGCTCAGAGAGGCATTGAGGACGAGGTGGCTACAAACAAAATTAAGAATAATAAAAAAAAAAACCCCAAACCGAAGAGGGGAGGGGTAGAAGAGAGATGCTTTCTCCTTTCTTCTTTTTCCCTCCCTCTTTTCTTTCCTTTTTTTTTCTCAGCGGAGGTGCGAGCGGCGTTTTAGCAATCCATCCTGCCGCGCCGGGCTTTTCCCGCAGTCTCCATAGCCCTGGGAGAGGTTTCTGTCCGGCTGCAAATGTTGCACATGCAAAAGATGGTGGAGAGTTTGGCGGTGGTGGGAGCGTCTAGTGGCTGCACCGAGAGATGAGACATGCGCTATCTCCCCGCTCCCCCGCCCCGCAGCGACACAGGCAGAGGCGCACACGCGCGCAGGCACGCGCGCGCACACACACACGCACACACACGCGCACACACACTGCCTCCGCCGGGTCTCTCCAGTCCACACCGCTCAGCGCACGCCTCTGGAGCCGAGGGACGGCAAATGCGGGAGCAGACACTGGAGAGAGCAGCACGGGTGGAGGGGGCAGCGCCTCCTCTCCCTCTCCCTCTCCCTCTTACACACACACACACACACACTCTCTCTCTCTCTGTCTCCCTCCCTCACACGCACACTCTCTCCCACATTCATACACACACAAACTGTCCTCTCTCTCTTTCTAGCCCTCATTCACACATGCACTCTCTCTCTCTATCACACACACACACTCTCTCTCTGACACACTCAAATCTCCTCTTGCTCTCCCTCTCCCTGCCCCCCTTTTTCTTTCTCCCTCCCTCACTCACACACACTCTTTTCTCTCTTTCTCTCCCTCACTCACACATGCACACACACTCTCTCTCTCACACACACACACACACCCATATATACACGCACTCTCTCTCCTCTCCCTGGCCCTCTCTCTCTC